TGTAGGTCTGTGCGTGTCCTGCACTCGGGCTGAGGCAGAGAAGCAGCGCCCTGCACCGACACAAGGTGCACACCTTGCTGAAGTCATCGGGGTGAAATCTTTGCACTGCTGAAGTTGATTTAAACATTCCCATTTGTTTCAGTGGGGTCGGGGATTACGCTCACTAAGGCATCCCATGGATTTCTGGTCCCTCCCCACCATTGGAACCGCTCCCGTTCCCCTGCCCCACAGCCCAGGGCCAGATGGAGGCAACATCCCTCTGCTTGGTGCTGTTCTGCATGTGGTCGGAGGCTCTGGTTTCTGGGAGCTGTTCTGTTTAATTTGCAAATTATTGAATCAGTTCAGAAGCGGCTGCCCAAGGTTCCTTGGCTCATGTTTTTTCAGGAATCGGATCAGACAATCCTTCTGGTATTAAATGGTCCATGAGTCCCTTGGCTGATTTATCCAAATGCTGCTGGAAATCATTGCTTCCTCTCCACTCCTAGAAGTGAGACCAGAGAACAAAATCTGCAAGTGATAAAAATCTCTTTCCAGTATTATTTGCAGAACCAGCTGTACTCTCCTACCAAGACAAAGTGGGAAGTCCTTGGTGGGCTGGAAGGGCTCCAGCTCCTGTCCAGCTGCAGACAGCAGCACGAGTGGGGCAGGCGGGCGCTGAGTGTGCCATGCCCTCCTGAAACAGCACAGGAGCAACGCCTGCACGAGTGCAGGATGTCCTGAACTGCTCCAACTACAGTCACTCGTGGTGCAGGGGAGTAATTAAAGCTATAGCCGTTTGTAGTTAAATGTCACCTTGCTCTGAGCAGGGCTTTGGTTCCTTGCTTGTGCACACTGTGCAATTGCGGCAGTTCTGTGCACACAGATGCAGGCTGGTAGTCTGGAAACACAAAATTTACTGCAAACAATCTAGACCAGAAAATATTGTTCTCTTTCTTTGCTGATTTTCAGGCTTCAGTGCAGAAAAGCGATAGGTAGCCAAGGGTTACTGGGGAAAACGTTGCACTGTTGAGGCTCTGCCCACACCTGCCCTGAGCTGTGGTGCACCTGCAGCACTGGGGCTGGAGCCGGGCAGCCCTGCAGTGCGTGCCCATGGCCGTCCCCTGGTGCACAGGGCTGCATGGGGCCAGTGCTGCCTGTGTGCCCTGTCTGGGTGAGCCCAGGAGTGGCTGTGGAGCCGTGGCGGTGCGCGTGGGGAGTCAGCCTCTGGGCAAACTTCAGATGTTGGGCACTGAATGTTAAATAAATGAGAGAGGGAGCAGCTGGCAAGGTGAGGCCCATCAAGGGCAAAAAAAAAACGATGGCTCCAAAAATAGAGGCTGTTAATTTACAGAACATCTTTACTGTCCTTCTCAAGGATAAAGCATCCCGACAGCTGAACTTGTTGCAGATGGGTGTGCTGTGAGGGATTAACACCTCCATGGGCCAGGTTTCATCAGCAGAATTAAGCGAAGGCATAAATGTAACCTGTGATGCTCCGAGCACTTAATTGACACAGCATAACAAAAGGCAGCGCTTACTGCTCGCTGCAAAACGGCGTCACATAATATGTTGACATCTCCCCTTCCCACGCACAATTTGTATCAATGCTCTGTCAGGTTAGACTGCCTGGTAAATCAGACGAACAAACAAAAAGGCAGAATGCGTGCAGAAGTCTTTTGTTAGATGTTAGTGAGAATATAGGAAGAAAGGTACAGCTGAGAGCTCTGTACAGGGTGCTTGTGTCCTTGCTTGTGTCCACACAGCCATGCTATGCCTTAGGGGTGCATGTTGGTTCCAGCCCAGCTCATGCCCGGAGAAGCCCTGCGATGTTGCTGGAGGATCAGTGGGTGGAGAGCATCTCAGTGCCCAGCTGCCTGGTGGAGCTTGGATGGCACAGCCGGAGGAGGTGGACCAATGTGGTTGCTGGTGGGTGGAAGTAGCCACCTTCCTTCCCACAAAGATCCCCAAAATGGGTTTTTAAAGGCAAACAAACATATCCATGATGTGATTATGTTGGAATTCTGGTGTTGTGCCAGGCTGGCACAGAGCAAGCCCCCCAGGCTGGGGCCATGTACATGGTGCCATGATGGTGCTGTGGGCTGTCATTAGCAGGGCAGCTGGTGTGGGACCTCTTGTCCATGCTCCTGATTTCCTGATTGCCAGGGAGCTCCTCACGATGCAGCAGTGCTGCCTTGCCGCTGGGTGCATTCAGCAGTGCAGCACAGTGAGGGCATGCTCCGCACCCAGCAGCACGTTTTGAGCAGCGTTTCAGCACACCAGCATGGTCTGCCAGGCTCAGGACCTGAATTTGTTCATGCTTCTGGGATGTGACCAGAAGTGCTCTGAATATCAGAGAATGACTCCACCCACCCTGGCTGCTCTGTGGGTTCCCGGTGCCCGCGCTCAGAACGGGGCAGTGCCGCAGAGCCGGTGGTGCGTTGGTTCCTGCTCCCCTTCAGAAAACCCCGCGGCTGGGCCTGGTAACTGCATTAAGGTATTTCCTTAATTAGATTTACTAAGTATGTAGGATTCTAATTCTTTTTTTTGCCTTCTTTCTTAATTTGCCTAATGAGGAAAATGAAGAAATAACATTACCTAAGTGATGTCTGCACAGCTTTCCGGGAAGCCTCTGCCCTGCCCGGTTTGCCCTGGCCCTGTAGGGCTCAGTGAGGGGCAGCCCGGCCTCCATCCCCCTCTTCCCCTCCCCCCTGTGCTGATTGTCCCACTGCAGCTGTGGGTGAGCTCGGGGCAGAGCTGGTGGCTGTGGGCTGTGCTGTGCTGTGAGGTGCTCAGGGCGGCACAGGGCTGTGCCAGATGCCAAGGTCCCTGTGCTGGTGGCACTGTGGGCTCTGCTGTGAGCTTCAGGTGGGCTCCCGGGGCTGCCGTGCCCTGTGCAGGTGGGGACACACCGACCTTCCCCCGAGCCATTCGTCATCCCATGAGGGCAGACTGCTGGGAGTCAGGCTGGTGGCCCTTGATCCCGGTGCTGACAGAGAACTGAATCACTGCGCTCGGTACTGCAGGTCACCACAGTGTGCTGCTGGCATCAGGGCTGATTGCTGGTGAATGTTCTGTGTGCTCACCCTGAAGTGAGATCGCAGCTCCAGCAGTTTGGCCCCAAAGAAGCAATCAACATGTGATAACAGAACACGTTGTTAACTTGTGCGAGTGATTTTATAATACTTAGAATGCGATGCTATGGCAACCTGTTACAAATCCCAGATCAAATGGAATTATTTGTATGCATCCCCATAACTTTCATCTTTGGAGGTCTGTGCCTTTGAGGCTGCTCTGCAGATTGGTGCAATCAGACAGAAAGAGGGTTGAAAGGAAGAGAGCAAAGATGGGTGCTTGTGTCCATGTCTGGCTGCCTGCAGTGCTCCAGGAAGTCGTAGAACAAAGAGTGCAAATTGCCATCTGGGCACCTTCTCAGCAGTGGAGCTGCGGTGAGTTTGTGGGGAGTAGGAAGAGAGGGAACTCAATGGTCAATGCAGGTGGTCAGCACGTGGCTTCTGCTGCTGCCCATATGCGGTCTTAAAGCATTTCCATTCATTTCTTGGGTGTTGGCCCTGGGTCAAGGCTACTGATGGGGGCCTGAGCCCTTCATTGCCCCATGACCCAACGCTGGCTCCGTGGTCAATTTGAGTCCATGGCTTCCTGTTCCATAGTTATTAACTATCAGGGAACTATTGATCTGTGTCCTGTTAGCACCTTCCCCCAGATCTCAGCACTGAGCTGCAGCCCCTTGCCTCTGCTCTCTGTGCCTGGCTGAGGGCTGAGGACCAGGCAGGGCAGGAGCCCCGCACTGCCCTGTCCTACATGCTCAGCTGGGTGCGTGAGTGCGTACATGTGTGTGTCTCAACAGATGGAGTCAAAGTCCATCAGGGCCAGGAGACGTCTGTTAGCAGAAGCAATTGTAAATACGAGCAGGAAGGCAGGAGGAGCAGTGGGCAGCCCTGTCAGGCCCTTCTCAGTCTGTCATTGCAGGGACATCCCTGCACAGCTGCCCTTTGCCTTGCACGGTAGCAGTGGGGTTCTGCTTTTGCCACAGTGGTCTCATAGAAAACCAGGTCTGCAAGGGCGATGTGGCAGCTCCTTGTGAAGCACCACAGGCACATTCTGCATTGGTGCAGCTGTTTCTCCTGCAGTGCAGTGCTGTCCGGTCCGCAGTGCCCAGCGGGCTGTTCTGCAGTGCAGGGTGCCCAGCAGAGCCCAGCTGGCATAGGGATGCACTGCAGGGATGCGCTGCAGGGACGTGCCATGGGGTGCGCCCCTCCAGCTCTGGGCTGGGAGCAAAGTGAGGCTAATGCAGGTGTTTGTCGCAAGAAGCTCTGCTGGTGTCCCAGTGTCGGCTGCAGGCACCTACCACTGTCTGGTGGGGCCCTGGTGTGCACTGCTGCTCGGCTCCCCATGCACTGCCTCATGCTGTGCTGTGCCATCCCAGGCGGGCTGCCATGGGAGCAAACCTCGTTACTGCGTGATAAACAGTTGGACATTTTGGCCCCATTTCTGCAAGACTAACCTGGCAGGAACGAGAGGAAACAAAATTAAATCTCAGATTTTCTGACTCCCGGAGTAGCATCTGGCAGTACTGCTGCGTGTGACGATTTGATTGTCTGCCTGAGAAGGGATTTTTTTTTTAAAGGCACAGAGTGTTTTTATCAAATCATCAGTGGAGGGCTTTGAGTGCAGCTTCTCAGGGCTGAGGAGAAGTGGGGTTGCATTTTTTGGCAGGCTCTTGGTGCAGTTCTTTTTCCCCTGCTTTCCAGTGTCACATCCCCATGAGACCACCGTGCCAGTGCCACTCTGCTGTGGGTATCCATGTGGTTGGCCCTTGCCAAAGCCCAATCTGGTGGAGCCTGGGGGGGTTCACGCAGCACCACCATGCTGAACTCAGTGGGGCCGTGGTGCTGAGACACGAGGCCGGTTCAACCAAAAGAGACCGGTCACCCGTGTTCCTTCTCTCCTTTCTCCCAGACTGGGCCGCAGGGGTTGCTGACGACACCTGTTCTGTTTTGCAGGAAGCAGGAGCTGCTGAGCAGCACGGATGTGACTCTCCCAGAGCGGCCACTGTCCCCTCCGCTCACTGCCCCCCCCACCATGAAGGTGAGTGCTGCACTGCAGGGCTGAGCACCCTGTGCCGGGGCCGTGGGCGCGCGGTCCGGGCTGGGTGCTGCTTTTGGAAACGGAGCCGGCAAGGAGCGGCACTTCCAACGCAGCGCCTGTAGCAGCCGGGGCCGTTCCGAGCGGAGCAGAGTAGGTGGTTTCTGGAGAGCAGCCGGCAGTATGTTCAGACACCATCAGCTACAGCGCAGTGAGCGTGCCAGCGGGCCCCATTCTGCTGCCGCCGCGTTATGCAATGCCGAGCGGCGGTGCCAGGCGGGTGCAGAGCCCAGTGCTGCTGTCTGATCGGCCCCAGCTCCATGTGCTGCCCCAGGCACCCACCTGCGTGCTGCTGGCACCTGCTCTTTGGCCCCAGCGTAAGCCTTCGAGGTGCGCAGCTCCTCTGCTCTCGGAGTAACCCAAGCAATTAGTGCGAGTGGAGCTTCCAGACAAAGGAAATGGCAGCTCTTCCCCCTGGGTAGCTGCAAAGCATTCGATATGTTGCCACCTGGGAAATTACTCATTAAACTGGTGAAGATGAGATCGAAGAGAAGCTTACAAGACAGCTGAGAACCTGGTTAAATGGTTGTTAAGAGGAGGGGGGCTGGGGATGAATTGAGCTAGAGAAGTTTATTAGTGAGGTTTCTCAAGTTTTGGCTCATTTGCACTTATGTTGGAGGCCCGGGTGCACAAAGCAGGAGTGAGCTGGCAGAGCACACTGGTGGATGGCGGGCGTTATGAGGGGCTGGGGCTGAGGAGGTGGGATAGGGGGACACATGGAGCTGGCAGTGAGTCCTGCCCAGCACAGCTCACTCACTCCTCCCTGCCTTGTAGCAGCCCCCAGCTAGGAGCTCGCAGCTGAGCTGCACAAAGTGAGGAGGTTCATCCCTGCATGCACTTTGTGCTTTCTGCTTAATTCTGGGCACAGGCTGCAGACAGCTTGCTGGAGGCACTGGCTTCCTGCAGAACAGCCCATTGCTAATTCAGCTGTGTGAGCAAACTCCTTCTAAGAGCATGCAAGCTATGCCAGCAAAAATGTGTTTTCCTGGTGTAACTCAAATTCCTTGAAGGAGGCAAACTACAATGGCAAAAACCTTTTTTGCTGGTGTAATTCCACAGTGAGGCTTGCTTCCCACCAGCCCTCAGCGGGAGGAATTTGTCTGGCACTTGTAATGGGCATCACCGTGTAGGAACAGAGCGGCAGACCGAGCCAAAAGAGAGCAGAGCGGAGCGGCCACGGGGCAAAGCCATCCGTCTGCTCCTGGGCTCCCCTGCTGCTCTGCTATGTCCGCCCTGGAAACTCAAGGGGAGAGGAAGGGGCAGCAGGTGCAGGCAGGGACACGGCCCCAGGGGCAGTCATGGCCTCGCAGTCGCAGGCACTTCCAGCCAGGGGACAGGTGGGCACGGCGTGGCACAGCCAGACCCGGGACCTGGCGTGGTGCAGGCTTTCTGACTGGCCTTGTGCGGAGAGCAGCCAGACTGAAGGCAGGCTGGAAGGGCTGCGCTGATACCCGCCCATGGCAATGACAGGTGACCCCGTGGTTGCGGCTGGGGCGAGGCGCTGCCTGGGTGCTGGTTGTGCTGGGCTCTTTGCTGCGCTGCCCGGATGCATCTGGGAGATGGGGATGTGCTCGTTGGAACCAAGCCCCTGTCCCTCCCTCCCCTCCCGCCCCACTCAGCTCTCTGTGCCACCTCTCGCGTCCGTGACGGGGAAAACCTCCCTGAGCCACGTGCGAACTCTCACCCGCTTCCTGCCCAACCTGTTTGGGGCACTTCCCGCGGAGCCACCCTTTTAAATAACAAAGCAGCAGCCCTGCCATGCCTCTGGCTGGAGAAACATTAACGAAGGGAGGTGTCGGTGGGGATGGTGGCCCGCCTGGCGCTGGGTCGCTCCGCGCTGCGCTGCCGGTAGGACCCGCGGTGGCCGCAGCAGCTCCGGCGGCGAGGCTGAGAGCTGCGGGCAGTGCGGGGCTGGGATGGATTTCCTGCGGGGGCTGCTGGTGAGTGCCACGTGCGGGGCTGCGGGCGGCGGTGCGGGCGGCGGTTGGCCGTGGGCACCTCCGGGTGTGCGGCCCTCAGCTGCACACTCTTGGTGCGGTTTTCTTTCTGGATGTTGTTTCCATTGGAAACCTCCGCTGTGGGCACTTTGTGGCTGTGCTTCTACTTCTGCTCCAGGTCGGTCCTTATCTGCTCGCTGCATTGTGCCCGCATGTGGGCTCAGCAGCACCAGCTCTGCCAATGGGGCTTTGGGGCAGATCTCATGATGATGGAGAGGAGCAAATGCAGCACTGTGCTGGGATGCTGGAGGTGATGCTGTGATCTCTTCTCTTCGCTGTCAGGAGAATACTTTTAGCTGTGAGGTAGTGAAGGCATGTGAGCTTAGGAAGAAAACAACAATGGTACTATTTTTGGCTTGGATATTCTGCATTTCTAAGGTCACTGAATCACAGAATCACAGAATCGTAGGGGTTGGAAGGGACCTCCAGAGATCATCGAGTCCAACCCCCCTGCCAAAGCAGGTTCCCTACACCAGGTCATTACTACCAGCTCTGGGACAGGTCTGTCCTGCCTGCGGAGGGAGGGAATGGCTTTCTGTGCCGGTGGTGCCTTTGGTTGCATTTGTAACACAGCTGCAGTCACTGCTGCCAGGAGCAGCCGGGCTCAGTGACTCAGCTCAGTAAGAACAAACTGGTGGCTGAACCACTGCAGGTGACGCTGCTTCTGACTGAGCAGCACAAAGGTATAATTGTCCTAACTATATTTACCAAAATATTTGTGGCGTGGTAAAGCTTGGCTTCAAGTCTGCATAAATTCCTAATGGCTACAGACTGCTCTTTGCTTTATTAAATGTGTACACGTGTTCTACTGGAGCTCACTTGGAAAGGTGGATCGGGTTCTGCTCTGTTGTTTTGCCTGTCTGCCCTGGCTGCTGGCAGAGGGGTGACAACTATTTTCATTGTCTCAGAGAGCGTGCGTGTATTGCAGACACCTGGAGATAAGCAGGAACCTGAAAGGAACTTAAAGTAAAGCAAAGACTTTTTCAGTTTGGACGCAGAGCTCTTTTGAACCTAGGTGCGTTTCTCCTTCTGCAGCTGCAGTGATAAAGAAGGGGCATAGTCTAAGGGCAGGACTGTGGCCAGGGCTGCAGGCTGTGCTGGTGCCCGGCCATCGGGCAGCGCCTTCCGCTGCGCTGTGGGAGTGGTGGCCGGCGGCTGCTGCAGCACAGCTCACCTCTGCTGCGTCTGTGCGTGAGAAAACTTGTGTGAGGCACCTTTGGTCTTGGAATGATTTTCATTTCTTCATCTCCCCCTCTGATTTTTCTTTCTTTTCTGTCTTTAGAGGAATTCAGTTGGTTCTAGGGCTCCCCTGAACATACTCTGGTGCTGTGCTCTTTGGCACGGTGCTGTGAGCCCCTGCCCCGAGTCCTGCGTTCCCCTTCTGCAACCACTGCTGGGAGCCAGAGGTGTCACGGCCCTTTGTGGCCGTCCTGCAATGAACACGGATTAAGGTCTGTGGGTGGGGGAGGATAAAGGAGAGGAGAAAGAAGTCCTTCATCATATCCCTGTCAAAGTCATGTATTGGTTTACTAGGAGTGCCCCAGTATTGACATCTGGAGGATGCTGGATAATTTATTTGCTTGTATGTGGGAGTAGGAGGGGCCATGCAGGGTGACTGTGCCACCGTTGTCCCAGTGGTGTCCTGCCAAAGGCCAGCATGCAGGGCCGCGCATTCGGGAGCCACTGCTCACTGCAGCACATGGATCAGCACACCTGGCCAGGCCCAGCCCCAGAGCAGAGCTTTTGCTGCTGGTTTCTGTGTGGAGCAGCAGCCTGGGCTTTGTGCCCACCTGATCTCCAGCACCATGCAGCACTGAGCGTGTGCTGCATCCACAGCGTGCAGTGCGGCTCCTTCCCAGCCCAGGCCTGCAGGATGGCTGAGCTGTTCTGCTCGGCATTGCAGCCCATGTTGGCAGCTCCCGGCGCCCGGTTGGACAGCACGGTTCTCTTTTCTTTTTCAGTCTGCAGAATTCTTCGAGATGTTGGAGAAGATGCAGGTGAGCTGCAGTGCGGTGCGGGGCGGCGTTGGCGTGAGATGTCCTGCTGGCGTCTGTGTGGTGGCAGCTTCTTCGTTGCTCAATCTGTTCACTTTGTTCCAAACAGGCACCAAAACTTGAAGATCAGAAAGCTGGAAGCCAAAAACATAAGGTTTGTTAGATTTTATTTCTTGTGTGGATCTTTCCAGGAGTTCCCTGTTATCTCCAGAAATCGGGGCTTTAATGTGTGTAGTCAAAGGCAGTTGTTTAAAGGACTAAAAGGGATTTAGGAGTTATCTAAAAGCAAGGCACTGATTGAATTGCAGAGATAAGAGAGTGGTGCATGTAAATCCCTAATCCAGCTTTGCGTCCAAAGCGGTGCATCTCTGTTGAGTGATGTGTGCTGGCTGGTTCTGTGGTGCTGTGCGGAAGCTGGCGTGGGTGCAGGATGAGCAGTGCCATGGGCAGAGCAGGGCAGAGCTGGGGCTGCACCCAGCAACATCACTTAGTGTGTTAAATTGGGTTTGGGGTTCAGGGACAGATGGAACCTGGGGAGCAAGCAGTAGTGCGCAGTTCTGTGATTCCCTTTGCAGGAGGACTACATCCCATACCCCAGCATCGATGAGGTAGGTGCTCTGAGACATGCTGCTGTGCCCCCAGGGCAGTGCCCTTCCAGAAGTGTGCAGAGTCTTGCTTCCAGCAGGAGCTGTGAGGCACGCTGCTCCTGCCCAGCTCTGCAGTGCCATACCTGCTCCCCTCAGAGGAGTAGGGCACTGCAGAGGGGCAGGACCTACCCTGAGGTGTGGGGCAGCCCATCATCCTGTGCCTCCCCAGATCCTGGAGAAGGGCAGCCCCTACCCGCTGGTTATTCTGCCCCAGTTTGGGGGGTACTGGATTGAGGACCCAGAGAACCTCGGCACGCCCACCTCATCCGACAGCAGTGTCTGCGAGGAGGAGGAGGAGAACTTCAGCCCCAGCCCCTATGGGTACAAGCTGGAGTGCAAAGGAGAGGCCAGAGCCTACAGGAAGCACTTCCTGGGGAAGGTGGGTGCGGAAAGGGCAAGGGGTTGGCTGAAAATTTCTCCCAGCCAGGAGAAAAAATCAAATCCTACAGCTGTGAGTGGAAAGGGCGAATGCTGCAGCCTTGCTCTGGGCAGGGGCAGCAGGGCTGCTGACTCACAGTGCTGGATGCTGTGCCCAGAGCCTGCGAGGCTGGGGGGAGGAGTGTCATCCTGCCATGTGCTGAGCTCCACCGCCCACCTGCTGCTTCTCTCTGCAGGACCACTTAAACTTTTACTGCACAGCCAGCAGCCTGGGAAACTTGATCCTGTCCATTAAGTGTGAGGAGGTGGATGGCACCGAATATTTACGGATTATACTCAGGTACAGAGGAAAAACATGCAGTGTTTAGCAAAATATCTTCTTGAAAGACTCTCCATTTGTTTCTCTGTAAATACCGCAGGCAGGATGCAGCACACCCGTTGCCATGGTGTGCAGGGCTCGGGGGGCTCGGGGTAGGGCAGAAGCCAGAGGTACTGTCCCTATACTGCTCTGTGCTGGGGCTGCCCGACCACTGGTGGTGAACACAGAGCTTTGATCCACTGCTGAAATCACATCTGGAACTCCTCATGATCCACTGTCATATCTGCTGCCATTTTTCCCCTAATCTGGCAAGGGTGCCTGAGCCGTTGCCTCAATTCTCTTTCAAACAACGAATATTTTAAGAGATGCAGAGATGAAAATAACAATGGAGCTCTTGGTAACTGACCAAGCCCAGCAGAACACCATGTTGCAGCACCTCCTGCAGTGTGCATGGCACAGAGCTGTGCTGCTGGCAGGCAGGGAGGCTGCAGTGCCTCGGGCTGCATGGGATCCTCCCCAGCTTCTTTTCATTTCTTTTTCCTTGTTAGGTCCAAAGTGAAGACATTGCACGAAAGGATTCCTCTGGCAGGATTTAGCAAGCTGCCCAGCATCCTACAGATCGCGAAGGTAACCTGCGTGGGGCTGCTCCGGGTGGGTTGCTGGGTGAGCTCAGGGAAGGGGAGGGGGAAGCTGCACCCAGGGGCTGCCCCACTGCACCTCTGGTCAGCACCAGCTGGGCACGGGCATCGCAGCAGGACGGGATGCCAGGGGAGCTCCTGCAGCCAAGGGCTGGGTGTGTCTCTCTGATAAGATGTGTGCAGCCATGCTGATGCCCACTGATGCTCACAGCACTTTCCCTTGCTCCCAGGCCTTCTGTGATGATGCCTCTGGACTGAAGTTTAATCCGGTTCTGTATCCCAAGGTGAGGAACTTACCTTGCATTCAGTAGAGATGAGGTTGGGATAATTCTGCCTTTTTCCCCATGATCCAGTAGCTTGCTTTTTGAGCACGGGAACTTGTGCAGAGCTAGGAGGATTCAGTACCTTTGAGAAAGATCTCCTCGGTGCTCTGTACAGATGCAGGGCATAGGTACTATTTTCCTTAGGGAATTACAGAAACAGAGTGGTGAGGCCCTGGCACAGGCTGCCCAGAGCTGTGGATGCACCATCCCTGGAGATGCCCAAGGCCAGGCCAGAGGGGGCCCTGTGCAGCCTGCTCTGGTGAGGGTCACCCAGCCCACTGAGGGATTGGAGCAAGGTGATCTGTAGGGTCCCTTCCAACCCAACCATTCCGTGATACTATGGTGAGAGACGCACCTTGCCAAAGGGAAGGACACACAGACTATGAGGTATGAACCAGCCCCAATCTGGGTTTGGTGCCTGCAGTTTAGCTGGAGCCCAGTAGGACTGAGCCTGTCCTCACTGTGACAGGGCTGGAACTCACTAACCCTAACCCCGCTCCAGGATCACTGGAGCACTGCAAGCTCTTCAGCTGCTGTAGAAACCCATTATGGGAAAGTTTTTCAGCACACTCATCATCTTCAGCCGTTTGTTATGTGTCAAACATGCAGCAGGCTCAGCAGTGCTTTGCCAGGACTCTCGGTGCCCTTTGATGTAGCCCAATTGAGGCAGTTTCATTCACCCGTTCTCATTACCATCTTGCCACCATCCAACACTGGGAGCCCAAGAGCAGCCGCTGCCCACACAGGACAGTGACCCCAGGTCCCACTCCTCAGCTGCCATGGGCTCCCAGCTGTGCCTTGTTTCACTGCAGGCCTCCCAGATGATAGTGGCTTATGATGAGCATGAGGTCAACAACACTTTCAAGTTTGGTGTCATCTACCAGAAGTTCAGGCAGGTGAGTGAGCGCTGTGAGCGTGGAGCATTGCTGTGCCTGGTGCTTCGCACTGCTGTTGGCACTCAGGTGAATGAGTGCCACGTGCAGCACGTGCTGCAGCTGGTGTCCTTACCAACTGCAAGTCTCTGGTGACTTGGATAGGGCCTGACTCATTAAAATACAATGTGACTGAAGAATAATCGATATGAAAATCAGCTGTAGGGAGAAATGGATGTGGAAATGCACTGTAGCAGCCACGGTGCCTTAATTAGATGTGTGTTCAGACAGTGCAAAGTGGTGCATTGGTGGGAGCTGGGAGCCATGCAGACACGCCTGTGAGTGCTTCCATTAGCCTGGGGATGCTGGCTGCAGAGCACGGGCACAGCTGGGTTGTATAATTTGCCTCAGATTATTCTGACAGGCACCCTCATTATCTTTACATACTGCATTTTATTTTGGATTGAACTCATAGAAGACCATTATCAAGGTCTCATTGTTTCGAATACACACATGAAGGATTCAGGTTGGCTGCCCGTTCCTCTCTCAAGATGCATCTGTGTCTTTGCAGACCCAGGAGGAAGAGCTGTTCGGCAACAACGAGGAGAGTGCTGCCTTCAGGAACTTCTTAAATTTGCTGGGAGACACCATAACACTGCAGGACTTTAAAGGGTACGTAGGAAAGACTGATTTTACAAATAAATTTAGCTAGAGACCATATAGTCTGTAAAGTATCTATCGTGTGAGAGCAGAAGTCAGCTCATTCATGAGCAGCACAGAGCAGCACAAATAGCTCTGGCTCGTGGGTCACAGTCAGGGGAGTTCACAGAGGAGATGGAACTGCCGACAGCAGAACTTCCATCCCTGCAGCCCGAGGCTGTGAGGCAGGCTGCTGCACTCGGCTGTAGAGGAAGGGGCTGTGGCAGTGCGGTGGTGCCGTGGGGGTCTGCTCCACGCCTGGAGCTGTGACTGTGCTGCATGCCCTGGGCCTCAGGCTGCACTGCACCACATGCTGCACGGTTTGTTCCTTCCCGTTTGCTAGCAGGTAGATAAAGACAGATGAGATAGTTTGTTCCGTTGCCTCATCCCCTGACAGCCACCAGTGGGCTCTGGTGAGCTGTCAGTGACCATTTCTGCCTTTCTCCCTGACTCTCTCCTCATTTCCAGTTTCCGAGGAGGCCTGGATGTCAGCCACGGGCAGACGGGGGTTGAGTCCGTGTACACCGTGTTCCGGGACAGGGAGATCATGTTCCACGTGTCCACCAAGCTGCCTTTCACGGAAGGGGACACCCAGCAGGTGAGGGATGAGGCTGGAGCGCCCGCGGGGCACGGCCACCTGCCCGTACCAACCACGCTTTCCCTTTCCACCCAGCTGCAGAGGAAGAGACACATTGGCAATGACATTGTGGCAATTATCTTTCAAGAAGAGAACACACCATTCGTCCCAGACATGATTGCCTCCAATTTCTTACACGCCTACATCGTGGTGCAGGTGGAGAACCCCGATGCAGACACTGCATCCTACAAGGTATGGGATCCCAGCTCGCACGTATCACGTTTTGCTCTGTCTGTCCATAGCCACGTGCAGGACAGGCCGCATCTCCAAACCACACATTTGCTCATGTGTGCTCAGGGTGCTCAGGCATCTACATAACTGGAGAATGTGTATATTGAGCATATGTGTGTACATGAACACATACACTTGTGTTTGTGCTATTACAGTGTGTGTGTATACATACATATGTGTACATATAAAACGTGCCCATGTAGCAGTATGCTCATTTACAAGGGATTTTTGATGCCACAGATGTTGCAATGAGCCCCAGAACAGCTCATACCGCCTAAACACAGAGCCCAAGTGTAGGTAGCATCACCCCTCCATCAGGAGGCGCAGCAGGACAGTTTCTCACTCTGAAAGCACACCACTTAGGGCCGTGAGGGAAGAAGGTTTGTGAGAAGTAGATGTGAGCAGTTATCCCATGGACACAGGTGGGCTGCAGCCCGGGGCTGGGCTGGGGGCATCACCCCAAGTGGGCTCTGTGCTGTGCGCTGCCCTCAGCCCACCGCTGCCCCTGCACACACAGGTCTCCGTCACGGCCCGGGAAGACGTCCCCTCCTTTGGCCCACCACTGCCGAGCCCGCCAGTGTTTCAGAAGGTGAGACAGGGCTGAAAGTGCATGCCAAGCTGGGAATTGTGTGTGGGTGTGAGTCTGGGATGCTTCAGGGCACACCTGGAGGTGGAGCTGGGTGTGGGGTCTGTAGGGTCATGGCGCGGTGCTACCAGCAGCAGGACAGTGCAGATGTCCAAGCCCCCATTCTCACTCCCTAGAGCCCCGAGTTCCGGGAGTTCCTGCTGACCAAGCTCATCAATGCCGAGAATGCCTGCTGCAAGTCGGACAAGTTTGCGAAGCTGGAGGTACGGCTCGCTGCCTTTGCCCCCTACTGCCCCACATCACCCCCACAGTGCGCTAGAACTGCTCCTCCTTGCTCTGAGCTGGGTCAGCTCCGGGACAAGTCAGGGACCAGCAGAGTGAGCTTCCTCGTGTCCTCACACCCGGGGCCGTCCTGCTGAGCCTGGTGCCATTCCCCAGGACCGGACACGTGCCGCCCTGCTGGACAACCTTCACGATGAGCTCCATGGGCACACACAGACCATGCTGGGGATGGGGCCCGAGGAGGACAAGCTGGAGAATGGAGGACATGGGGGCTTCCTGGAGTCTTTCAAGGTAAACTTTAGTCTCTCCCCAACAGGAAAGTTAACGTGTACTCAGGGCCGGAAGGTGTCTTTGTGGAAGGTGCAGAAGTGCACTCACTCTGGGCGTGAGTGGCCCTGAAGGCAGAGGAGGGTCCCCACGTTGCTGGTCTCATGCTGGGGGGTGGGTGTAGGCTCAGCTGCATCCTGTTGGGGTACAAGATGCAGAAATTGAGGCATGATGCAGCTGTCCTACAGCGTATTCACGATCTGAGACGCTGATTGTCCTCTCTGCACTGTGGTGCACGGAGAGCAGACACGGCTTTTGGGCTTGCAGGGTGCCCTGGGCCGCATGGTGCGCCCAGCAGCTGGAGCTGGCATCTTCCTGCCCCGCCGCCTTGGGGCCGCGCTGCTGGGCTGTGTGCTGGCGTACCTCCTGCGCTGTGTGCTCTGAGCACCGTGGGGCTGGAGCAGGGTGGGATGTTCTGCTGGTTGCATCACACTGACAAGCTCTCGGCCCCTTCCTCTTGTTGGCTCATCTGGCAGGGTGTGGTAGGGGACATGCCATGCATGGAGTGCTGTGCTGGGGCTCTGGCAGTGCCAGGAGGAGATCCTCCTGCCCACATGCTGCCAGAGCTGGCAGCAGAGCAACCTGCTGCTCCTGCCCACAGACACCATCAGTTTGTACAAGTTGCTGATCCCAATAAATCCAGTCTGATGGATGCTTGCTTGCAGCTCGTTACTCAAGGGGCAGGAGGGGACACCGTGGTCCCTATGCGGTCGGGTGCTGCAGGGTGCAGTGTGGGTTGGTATTGAGGGGTTTTACATGGGGCTGAAGCTGGCAGCAGAGCGGTGCCTGTGCATCATGGATGCAGTGCTGGAAGCCTTCAAAAACATGGCCTTTGGAGGCTTGTTTCCTCCGACACCTCTGTGTCCTGAGCTGTGCTTAAATGCTCTGGAGGAGGAATAGCTGTGGCCTGCTGGGTAGCACAGCAGAAATTTAGGATGCAATAGCTGCAAAGGGAAACTTTCCTGTAATTGGCACACCAGTATCACAGTCCAGTTTGGGCTCTGGTTGCTATGGTTATTACAGTAATTAAAATAAGTGTATAGATTTTTTTAACTTGCGCATTTCCCTGCTGCTCTTCATGGTGTGTGCCAGACTTCCAAAAGATCTCGTGGTCTTATTTGTGAGTGGCTGGGACAACAACTGAGGGAAGGCTTTAAAAATAGCTCGAGTCCTGTTCAAGCATCCAAAATGGGTGTTCAGATTCGCAAAAGGTCTCTGCCTCCCGCATGCACAGCTCTGGTTCCAACAGTTTGAGTCAAAACACGTTAAAGTCATCATCAGCCCCCACGTATTCAGTTCCTGTTCAGAACTGCACCTTTGCTTCTTTCTCCGCACCCCTGGGCCGCTCTGCAGGGGCTGCACAGCCCTCTGTGCTCCCTCTCTGCAGCACCGCTGTGATCTCTGTCATCGGGATGACCCCATGCTGCCAGAGCAGGGGGAACCGCAGCCCCTTCAGTGCGCAGAGCTCGGGCGGTGCTCGAGCTCCCAGGGACTGCTCCTTCCCAGGAAGCAGCGTGCACTGAAAGTGGCGCAAAGTCTCAGGGCAGCTGGCAGCAGGCTACGGGTTGCTGCGTGCTGCATGGAACCGTCAGCCATGCAGGGCCAGGAGGGGCAGGGGGGGCTCCTCGCAGAGCCTTCCCGCAAACCCGGGGAGCGGTGCGAGGGTGTGCGCTTGGACGCTGCCACACCGCCGGGCTGCGCTGTCACTCCTCGGGGGTTTCCGCAGGGCGGGGCCTGGGGCTCTGCTGCTTTGGGTGGCAGCGGTCCCGGGGTGTTGGTGACCGCTGTCTCCTGTCCCTCGTGGCCACAGAGAGCCATCCGCGTGCGCAGCCACTCCATGGAGACGATGGTGGGCAGCCAGAGGAAGCAGCATGGTGGGGGCATCCCGGGCAGCCTGAGCGGGGGCATCGTGCACAACAGCGGCGAGGTGACCAAGACCACCTTCTCGGTTAGTGCAGCCCCACGGCCCTCTGTCCCACTGTCTGTCTGTGTGTCCGCTCCCTCCCATGCCGGCGGGCTGCTGTGGGGTTTCTCGGATGGGGTTGTGCACTCCTCGAGCTCGGGCTGTGTGGTTCTTTCAGCCCCCGGTCTCGGCAGCCGCAGCCAAGAACCAGTCGAGGAGTCCCATCAAGCGCCGCTCGGGGCTGTTTCCACGGCTGCACACGGGGTTGGAGAGCCAAGCAGACAGCAGGGCGCGATGGTAAGCACAACATTCCCGGTGCTGAGGGTGGCGGCAGCCCTGCGGTGTGGCTGTGGTGCCGGAACCTCCCTGTTCTGCATTAGGGCTGTTTCTGCCACGTTCAAGGCTGGGGGGTCTTGGGTGCCTTCCCTCTGACTTAAATCAAAGATGTGGTGTTCTAAGAGCATCTGTTACTCTGAGTTTTGGCACATGGTGCTAGAAATATAATTTGACCATTCGTTTTAAGTCTCCTGTGTAACTCACACAGCCTTTTTGTGCCCTCAGTGACAGTATTTCTGGAGCACAGAAGACACCAGATACTGGACATTCATCCCAGGAGATGAAATCTGAGACCTCATCCAACCCCAGCTCCCCTGAAATATGCCCCAACAAAGACAGGTGAGCAGCACAGAACCAAGCTGCCATAGTCCCTGCAGTCAACAGCCAGAGCACCAGGGGCAATCAAAAATAGGTTCTACTATGAATAAGTTGAGGGACTAAAATAGAGGTTCTGGTGATTCACACACACTGCTTCTTTATGATTTGAAAATAGCCATCTTTAGAAAAGAGCAGCAGCAAGGAGCCCTGTTGGCAGGAGTTTCCAAACCCTGCAGGTGGGGGCAGGTGCATGGAGTGAGCTCCCCGTGCAATGTTCCCACAGCTGCCAGCTCCTGTGTTCCTCCTTTGGAGGGGAATGCTCCCAGCAGTGCCCTGGCTCCATCCCATGGTGGCTACTCTGTGCCCAGCAGAGCTCATCCCACAGTGCTCAGCTCAGTGCTCGGTGCAGTGACCACATGCTTTCCTTAAGTGTCTCATCACCCCCCAGGCCCTTTGTCAAGCTGAAGGAGAATGGCCGGTCCAACATCTCGCGCTCCTCCTCGAGCACCAGCAGCTTCAGCAGCACGGCGGGGGAGAGTGAGACACTGGAGGAGTACGACAGCATGGTAGGAACCCAGTTCTGTGCTGTAGCTCTGGGGGGGGTCTGCTTCTGGGGGCTCCTTGGGGGGACGCCACAGCCTTGTGCCCCTGTGTGCTCCCGGTGGGTGCCAGTGTGATCCCAGCAGGGCGGAGGGAAGCGTGCGTGTCCACTTGGGTTGGCTCCTATGGGATGAACAGTCCTAAAGGATAAAGGCTGCTGTTCCGTGCTGAGCCATGCTGTGCCATGTTTTGCTGTTCTGTGCCACGTTGTGCTGCAGAGCGCAGCTGTGCTGGGCATGTGCAGAGCACCAGGTAGCAGCTTGCTACAGGGAGTGGAGTCGTGTCCCACTCTATCCGTGCAGGGCAGCCAGCCATCCACAGCATCGCCCTTCAAGCAGGACGTGTTCATCTACAGCGCATCGCCTGGCAGCGATAGCCCGAGCGTGGGGGCCGCGGCCACCCCGGTCATCATGAGCCGGAGCCCCACAGGTGGGTTCTGGGGCAGCCTGGTGTGGGAGCAGCTATGGGAGAGGCAGTAAGGCTGCAGGATGCACCCTGGCTGCAGGATGCGGGGCCCCGACTGTGAGCAGCTCGCCCGGCTCACCCATCCTGCAGCACGGAGCTCTAAACCAGCACAGGGAGGGCTTCTAGGGCTCTCCTGATGGACATTTGCAGTAGCCTTGGAAACTCGCTGTCTCCAAGGAATGAGCTGTGACTCAGGAGTTATTTAATAACCAAGCAGCTCTCTTTGAGCCTGGCTCTATTACCCTTCCTACTAACCAACTCTGCACTAATTCCATCCATTGGAGCCAATTAGCAAAGTGAGGTAGGAGTCAACATGAGCCAAATAGGCAGAGCGGGCGCCCGCCCCTCACCGCGCAGCGCAGCGCTGCAGTTTCCCTGTGCGCTGTGGTCCTGCTGGAAGGAGCCATGATTCAAATGAAAGCACACTTTAGGAACTCGGGAGCTCTTTGCAGAACAGCCAGAGAGCTACAAATCCACCAGTAACAGCTCGGTAATTGGGAGCAGCTTGACAACTGGGAGCGGCTCCGGAAAAGGACAGAGCTGGAAGTGCAGCCTGGCTCTCTTTCCTTGGTATCAGCACCCCACCAGTCCTTGTTTTATTAGCAATTTTCAGAATGAACAAAACAGCGTTTTTAATACTTAAAGTGTTTATTTTGCATTTTCCTGCCAAAAGCATTGAAATCCACCCCTACTTACATAGATCAGTCATTTGCTGCAGCCTTTTCAGTGGCATTTCCAGTAGAAACACTGTGAGATGTAATTAAGCCTCAATTTATTCCATCAAAAACACTTAATGTACAGATTTTGCCAAACGTTCAGTCAAGATAGACTAAATATTGGTAACATTGGTGACAAAATATTAAAGCTCCTGGCTGCCGCCTGATTCAGCAATCGCATTTGCTTGTGGGTTATTACTTTGCTTTGCTTTTCTCCACCTTCCAGCAGATATAAAGAACAGAAACTCCCCGAGGTCAAACCTGAAGTTCCGCTTCGATAAGCTCAGCCACGGCAGCTCCAGCACGGTACGCAGCGTGGGGATGCCCTGCAGGGCGCAGCGCGGGGCTGTGGGGCAGTGCTGCTGTGTGTCGCTGTGCCTTTGTCTGCAATCCAACCTGAATTCTGGTTTCTCATTTAGAGTCACTAGCAGGAAAAAAGGAAGTCGAGAACTTTTCAGCGGTGAGTATTTGTAACACTGTTGTGTGAAATGATTCATCTCATCTGTGGTCAAATGCATATATTTTAACGACAGCACGCAGCGACCAACTGCAGCGTTTATGATTAAATGTGTGGTCAGTACCAGATCTCTGGGCATCCTGAATGCTTTTGTAAGATGAGGACAGCACTCAGTGAGAAAAACAGTAGTGATCAGTGACAGAATGATTGGTGTCCATCAGTGCCATGATGCAGCGCTGCATTTTATTTCTCTTTTTTTTTTGAGAGTATCTCTGACACTTTTATCCTTTTTTTTTTTCTTTCTTTTTTTCCCAGAGAATTTTTGTTTCAACAAAGGGAAAACTTCACCACCCCGTGGGAACGCACACACCTCACACTCCAGCACGGTGCCCTCCCCACTGCAGCCAACCCTGTGCCGCCAGAGGACATCACCTCCCTCCCGGCCTCCGAAGCCCCAGCCCTCCCCGTGCCCCCCTGCCTGCCCTACGGCCCCAGCAGGCTGCGGGCGGGGAGCTGGGCGGGCACCGGAGAGGTCTGGAGTGTCCCTCCGATGCTCGCACTACCTGTGCACACACACTCCTGGGAGTATTTTTCCCCGTAGTCAGGCACGGGCAGCTCTGGTTCTCCGCTTTTGGAGCTGGTGTGGCAGTGCTGAGGGACTGGGGCTCACGCGCTGCCCCTGCTGACCCCATCCCCAGCTCTTGGGCTGCAAAATACTTGGGGCCGCACAGCCCCATGCTCCCCCCGGGTGCTGGCACAGGTGGCAGCGGTGCCGTCTGCCCTCTCTGCGTGGCCCGAATGCTTCTTCCCTGCCCAGAACTTCAGCGTGGGCCCGGGACAGACAGAAGCCAAAGCTGCATTGTAACTGAATCCCAAACTGGTGCTCGGAGCACACTGAGCCTGCGGGCTTTGCCTCCTCCCGGGGCTGCTCCATCCGCCGGTGGCCGGGATGGCGTTGGGCTGCTCCACCCTTTGCAGCATCAGCTCCCGCCTCTGAGCGCGCGTCCGTTCGCTTCGAAAGAGGGCGGTTACGGCTCTGCAAGGTGACCTCCCCGTGCCGCTCTGCAGGAGATGCTTCTGACCACGCAGAAATCCCTCGGCCCTTAGGGAGCTTTGTCTAAGGTTCGCTGTAAGTCTGTCTACTATGTTCAGGGTGGTCACGGATTTCCCCCATCCACTTTTTAAATGCTGCAGAGGTGCAGCGCTGCACCTCGCCACAATCCGTCACCTTTGCAAAAGTAACCGCCAGAAGCGATGTTCTTCATTTCAAATGGAAACCGTTTTTTGAGTTCATGATTCCTAACGACACACAGCTGGGAGTGCCGAAGCCGTCCGCGCGCGGCTGCAGCCCCCGCCCCACAAACGGCCCCGGCGGTGCTGTGCGCGCCGTGCCGCCCCGCGTGGCCCCGTCTGAAGGAAGGGCTGCGGGCCGGTGGGGCGGGGATCCGATTCACGAAGGAATCGCGTCGCGGAGAACGCGAGGAGTCCCGACGGGCGCTGAGCGCTCCCTCCCGCGGTCCGTGAATTGCTTTTAAGTCGCGTTTAAATCTCGAGCTGCTCTTTGCCGGAGGCGGTTTCCCTCGCTTTGCTGCGCCCCGGGAGCGCCGAACCCTCGCCCTTCCGCGGAGCGCTGCGCTGCGGGGCCGCCGCGTGCCCGGGGCTCGGTGCGGCTTTCCCGAGGAGTTGTGTGGTTCTGTGGGTGTCGTTGTTCGCGCGCGTGTTGATCTCCGTGAGATCTTTCAGCAGATGCAGTGGCTGCTCTCGTCCGGGCTTTTTGTTTTCGGGTCGTTGTTTTGTTTCTGTTATTACTTGAATCTGCGAGGTTCCTTCTGACCCGGAGCGGTTTGCTGTTGTCGGAGGGCTGCGGCCCCGGGGCCGAAGCGATGCGTGGGGCGTCGCGGGCCGCGGTGTGGCTGCGCCGCTCTGCCCGAGCGGACCGTGCGGGGCGCGGCCGTGCGCTGGCGGAGCGCGGAGGGGTTTTTGTGCTCCAGCGGTGGGTGAGGACGTTCCTGCGTATATATTGCAAAACGTTTTGTGCTTCTACGTGACACACGCACACGTGTACGCACCTACATACAAATGGAAGTGCTTTTTTTTTTTTTTTTTTTTTCCTGGATAAAAAGGGACCGTCCTAAGCACAGACTCAGTTTGTTTCCAGAGTTTTGGGCTCTATGGCGACGGCAGATGCAGGGCTGGAATGTTTCCTCGGCACCGGCAGGCACGGTAACCCTGATGAAAGCCGCTACCCCGGGTTTCTTCAGCTGCTGCTGGGGCAGTTGGTGCCGGGGTGCCGCGTGGCCCCGATCCCCGCGGGGCACATTGCACCCACACTGCTGGGCCGCGTGCGGCTGGGATGCGCTCAGCTCGGAACCTTAGAGCATGCTTCGTTGTTTGAAGGAATGTAGCACTGCGTGTATCCTGTGAAGGAAAATACTGAATTTATATCATTAGAATGTGAAGAGAGTTTTTAGAGTGAAAACAAATCTTGAAAAAATGTATCTGACAGAAGTCTATTTTTTATGTGGAGAGGCGGTGCTTCGTAGTTCCTGGTGGCCTATTTCTGTTGTAAATAATGTACATTTAATTTATTGCTATGGTAGCAGATTGTATTTGTTATGTATAAAACTAAAGGTTCACAAATGTATATTTTGTTGCTTAAATGTGTCTTTGCAAAATTCACAATAAATAACATATTTTGTGTCCATATGTGTACTATGTTGTGCACATCTGTGAAATGACAACATTAGCTGAACACGGTGAGGATGTGCTGCCATTCCCAGCTCTCTCCCTCCTAGGATGCTATAAAATGCTTTCATTTTTTGGAACAGTGTCTGTGTTTTTTCCCTACAGCTTGGGCTGAATGATGAGCATTGCTTTTGACCAGCATTTTTTCCAGCAAAAATGTGGAACGGTGATGAGAGTGAGCCCATGGATGTACCAGTGTGAGAACAGGATAATGTTGTGGGGTGGGAGTGAGTGGCAGAGGGGTCAAGGAAGAACAAAACCAAAGTTTGGATTTTCTAAATCAATCTTTATTACAAAAATAATTCTTGCAGCTCCCCCCTTTGCCAGTAATTGGGAAGACTGCTTCATCCACTCTGGCATTCAGCAACTGCCATCACCTTCAGCCTGGCCCAGCCTCCTGCTCTCCTGCACTGAGACACCCAGCAGTGCTGACAGCACCTGAAGCTCCTGGGGCCGTGGCTGCTCCTTGCTGAGCAATTGGGGCACTGTGCCTAGTAAGGTTTGGGCTGGGGGGAGAGAGAAGGGGGTTTAGTGCTGAGCACGAGGGAAAGCACTGACAGTCATGTGGGAGAAACAGGAATGTGAAGTGCACCCACCTTAGTTGTGCTCCTCGCTAGGGTAGGAAAAAAGGAAAACAGAAAAAAAGAAAGGAGGCTGTGAATAAGAGGACAACAGGCAGGCTCTGCAGCCCAGCACAGCCTCACTGCATCTCAGGGGCATCTTGGCCACCAGCATGGCACAGAATTGCACAGCATGGTATAGCCCTCTCACCTCCAACCCAGACACCCCTGTCCCCCCACCTGAAGCTGTTCTCACCTTTGTGGAGATGATGGAGTGAGGCCACAAGGCACCCAGTGAGGCCGAGCAGTAGCAGCAGCAGCCAGGTGGTGGAGGTCGCTTCTGCAGATGAATCAAAAGGAGGATGGGGACAAATGAGGGCCGGGACCAGGGTGGCTTTTTTGTTTGTTTTACTCAAAGCAATGCTGAGAACAGGAACGGGTGAGTGGGCCGTTCCACCCCCTCCAGCCCTCCATGGGATCAGTGCCCAGACAGCAACAGCACAGAGCTCGGTACCTTTCACTGCCACTGTGACGCTCCTGCGGATGGGTGCCTGCAGGCTGGGGTGCTCCACGCGGCACGTGTAGGTGTGGCCGTCGTCATGCAGGGTCGCTGTCAGCAGGAAGAACCTGGAGAAGCTGTAGGTGCCATTGCTGTTGCGCCGGTGGCTGCTGGTGAGGACGTTGGGCACGGTGTCGGGGAGCTGCCCGGCGTCCCGCGGCTCACGGAGCCACTGCGCATGGATGTCCGCAGGGTAGTAATTGCGGATGTCACAGACCAACTTCTGCTGCTCCCCTTCCACCAGGGACAGGGAGTTCACGTTGATGGTCACCGTGGGCTTTTCTGGTGAGCAAAGATTTATGGCACTGTTGGGTTTTTCGGCTCACCGTTTCTGTCTCCATCATCGAGCTGAACTGACCACAGATCTGTGCACTGCGTCGGAGCGCCGTTACCTGTTATCTGCAGCAGGACCGCCTGCTCCAGCACGAGGGCTGCCGCCTGCACCGCGCAGATGTACGTCCCCTCGTCACCGAGCTCCACGCGCCGGAGCAGCAGGGATGCGTTACCGCGGGGCTCCTGCGGGAACATCTCAGCGCGGCCGCCGCCGGAGGTGGCGATGCGCCTCTCGCGCTGCCCCTTCTGCCGCAGCGCCCACTGCACGGCCACGGCCACCCGCGGGTCGGCGACGAAGGCGCAGTCCAACAGCGCGTCCTTCCCCAGCGCCGTACGGACCCGGGGCAGCCGCGTGCGCACCGCCAGCACCGCTGCGGGTCGGGACGGCGGTGAGGCGGGCGGAGCGGGGCCGGCTGCCACCCAGACAGCCCCGCCACCCAGACAACCACGCCGCACGCGCCGGCTCAGCCCAACCCCGCGCCGGGTGCGAGCCCAGAGCCCGAGCTGCTACACCGCGCCCGGGGGCACGGCCCCGAGCCCTCCGGTAACTGCTCGTATTGCTGTCCCGGAGCCATTGCTAAGCCTCTTTTATGCCTCGCTATATACGACAGAGAGGGAGATGTAGTGGTTCCCCCACGACTCCTGCCGTAACATTGGATTTAATGAAGCAACACCTCCCCGAGCCGCGTTAGGAATAGTTGCAGAGCTGCAGGGGGAACGGAGCGCTCCGCGGGACCTCAGCACGGGCTGCGGTCAGTCCCAGAGCGAGGGGACTGAGGGCACCCTAGGTGGCAATCAGAGCCAGCTGAGCCCAATTAGCCTCGGGGGGAGGAGTACGGTGGGGCTGAAAAAGAGAGCTGGGAAGGTGTGCGCCTCACTTGGTGGTATGACTTGCTTGGTTGTAGCTGTCTCAGAGAAGCTCCTGTGATGGGGTGAGTAAAAAATGAAAATTTGTTTTTTCTTACGGGGGAGGGGCGACGTGGGGTGAGGGGAGCATCTGGGGGTGTGAGTGCTTGTGCTGTGTTCTTGGCTCCCTCCAGCAGGCAGCGCTGCTCGCTTTGCTGCCCTCTGCTGCGGTGCCTCGTGGTGTGTCCCCACTGTTAGACTGTAGAGTCCCGGTCTCCCTATTTTTAAACACTGCAGCCGCTTATCTGTGCTCAGCTAAGGGCGAGCCCTGGCAGGGTGCGGTTCAGTAACGACGGTCTGCAGGCTGGACCCGGAGCGCCATTTCTCGTCCGGATGAGGCTGCAGCCCTCTGGCAGATACCAACTGCTTTCTGCTCCTTCTCTGGAGCCTTCTCCCTCAGCTCAGCAAGCAGCTCATGCTGTGGGTTGTGCTTCCAGTGCAAACACTGTGGAAGTGTTCTGCCTGCTGAAAAGCTCAGATCAGCCTTAACGTGTGTCTGTGTTAAAGCCTTGGTGGCTTCTGTATTTGCTGTTAGGGCTCTTAGAGACGATGGTATAGAACTATGTAAACAGAAAACAGTTATGCTTTTGAAAAGCTGCTTTGAAGTTATTCATTTCTGCAATGTGTGCACAGCTCTCAATACAAGGGAAAGCATATGCTTTTCAGTAAATGCGTTTTGCCTTACAGTTGCTAAAATGTTATCTTGAGCTATCTGTAAACTTATGGGGCTGGTAAAAATAGTCTGAGGTCTGTAAGCCCAGAAGAGAAGTGTTTGGGTGGTGACATTAAGCAACAGCTGGTGGGACACAGAAAGCCAGGCTAGGAGTTAATAGCACCCCAGCATAGCTGGAGAGGAACAGGTGGTTTCCCTCTACATAATCCCTGTGTAAACGACTCTGGCTTGCTGCTTGGGGTGCAGTTTGGGACACAGCTGAAACGGCTCAGTGGTAGTTGCTAGCTAATTACCTTCATAGCCTGCAGGTCTGACAGTTGTGCTCCAACCCCCCCCCTTCCCCTCCCCCTTCCTTCATTAGGAATGTATGATGTTCCCCAGAGAAGCATTACCTGACACGCGTGTCTGCTCTGCGATGCCTTGGTGAAGCTGTCCTGGAGTTTGGTGCTCTCTGTCCTCATGGCTTTGCACAAGGAAGGCTGTAGCTGTGTATTTCCCAGCTGTGTGCTTTATGGTGCAAGTGAACCAGGTGTCCAGGCCGTGGGCTCGAACCTCCCTCCCAGGCCAGAGGATCTGAGTGTTGGCTGTAAAGTAAGGGCTGATCCTGCAGTCAAGCATGTTGATATCCTCATCTGTGTGCTGCAGAATATTCACCGAGGGCTCTGTATGAACACATGCATGGACTTGTTATGATCCCGGTTCACCTAAGGGCAGCAGAAGCAGTCCTCTGTCTGCACACAGCTCTCAGTCTGATCCTGCCCTGCTCTGTCCCACCCCGGTGCACTCCAGCAGGACTGATCTCACCTAGCTGGGATGACATTCTGCCTGGCACTGCTGGATCTTGTCCTGGGATGGGTCTGCCCAGCTGCCTTCCTTGTGTGGGAGGGGACCAGCTCTCCCAGCACAGGTTGGGCTCTCACAGGGCAGTGGTCTCGTTGGATGCAGATCTTCAGCGGGAGGTGAAGCTGTGCTGAGTTGTGAAATGCTGAATTTTCTGTATCCCTATCAGCTAAAGTACAGCAGGGCTGCCTGTCTGCTCACTTCTTGCCAGGAGCCGGGCTTGGTCCTCTGAGCACATAGCTCACCTTGTACAATGAACGAGGGCAGGCTGTCTGCAGGAAGGCTTTCTGTCCAAGGCCTTTGAGCACCTTCTGCTCCAGCCACAGGCAGCAGCAGCCTGACGTTCAGCAGCACGGTCTCTGTTTCGTTGGACACGGGAACGGTTTTTCTCATTTCAAATATGCAGGGAAGTTGCAGGCTCCTCCTGAGCCCTGGCTCTGCAGAAGCAAAGCTGTTTGGGGTCCTTGTGATTACTGAAAAACAGATTATGTACACTCAAGCTACGTTTAAAATTTTAACAGTTGATTTTGAAATCGCCCCGCGGATGCGGGAGGTGCCGAGCGGCGGCGGAGCTCCGTGCTCATCCCCACCACCCGCGTCCCTTCCGCTTCCCAGCCGCTCTCGCAGCGCAGCCGCCGCGCCCCCGGCCCCGTCCCGCACGTACCGGCGCTCAGGAGGCAGCCGGCCGCCAGCCACGCTCCGCAGCCCATCGCTCCCTGCCCGTCCTTTCGCTTTCGCTCCCTTTCGCTTTCGCTTTCTCCGGTTGCGCAGCGGGAGGGGCTGCCCGGCCCCGCCGGGATGGGGCGGTCGCGCACCGGGCCCGAAGGCTCGGACTGCACCGCACCGCGCCCAGCGGGACCCGCAGCGCCATTCGGGTGGCGCCCGGGGCGACGCAACCACTGCTCCGCGCTCGGGGACGCGTTTGCTGGAAAAGGGAGCCCTCCGGGTTTGTTTCCCTGCGTTGTTGGGAGCAGCAATAACAAAATACTACAATAACAACGAAACTTTAACTTTATTGAGCAGTAAAAAAAACCAACTCCAACCTGTACATCCATCAAGAACAAACAACATAATATTTATGCCTTGTAACCGACACCAAACAAGTGAAACCAGGAGGGGCCTTCAGCTGTAGCCGGGTTCAGTCTGTACTGGAGAGCCGCCTGCTGGCACTAAGTGTGGCCGCATCCATCCCCGCAAGGTGCCCAGAGCTGGGGCTGTGCTCAGCGGCTCTGTGGCCATCTGGCCCTGCAGACCGGAGGCTGTGCTTTATTGCCCAGCCCTGCAGTGAGGAGCGTTGCCTTCCTACAGGGCACGAAGCTGGGGCTGGGCAAAGTGAGAATGCTTTCCCTAAGAATTTGTAAGGAGAGGAATGAATCATTTGCTCAAACCAATCTGTGGCCATCAAAATACACATCGTGAATGAACTGGAACATCTTTATTTTGACTTTACGGGTGAGGAAAAGATACACAGACGTTAATCTAATGAGAACAAAGCAGAGCTGTGCGCCTCCCCAGCTGTCTCTCAGCACAGCTGCACACCTGGCTCTGAGAGCTGTGGGCATTTGACAGCCAGGGTGATGGCACAGGGCTGGATGGCGGGGGGCTCGGGCTGCAGCACAGCAGAGCTGTGGGTTGTGAGCAGTTCTCACTGTGTGAGACATGAAATGTAGTTGTTATGCAGCGTGAAACTCTTGACAGTTCCTTGTGTGTAGAGCAGTATCAGCCCAAGATTGTTAAGTTAAACTTTGTGGTGTGAGGCAATGTCGAGATTTAAAGGTAAACAAACAGCTAAGACATACCTTTAAAGGGGAATATAAATATTTACAAACCTGACAGATGGGTGACTTTGGAGTTAAAAGCTGAGTATTGCAGCCGTAAAGTTACTTTGTGGCATCTGCTGTGTCACAGCCCGGCCCAGGGCTGAGCTCTGGAGCTCGGGTGCAAGCAGTGCACTCCCCAACTTCGTGTAAGGGTCAGCAGCTGAGGGAGCAGCATCTCTAGGCAGAGATCACACTCCTCTCACACCCTCATCAGAAGGGCTGAATTAATTTTTTCTTTGCTGTCTTTCGTTGTTCCATAGTGCTTGTGGCCCAGCAGATGGCACTGCCATCACTCCTCTGCTGCACAGTCACTCAAAGAACGTGGACTTAACACTTGGGAGAGAAAGAACTTCAGGGAGCTCTGGGCCTGCAGTTGTGCTGCCTCATCTCTGGAGGAGCCCCAGGCCGTTGATGGGGCCCTGATCCGGGGGGGCTCCATGGTGGGGGTGGGGCCGGGGGGCCCTCTGAGGTCCCTTTCAACCAAACCGTTGTATGGTTCTATGAAAAACACCTCGTAACAGATCTCACTGCAAGAACTGCCTCCTCTGTTCTCACAGTTCAAACGAGGTGTGAAGGCTCTGGGAGCAGACATTTGAATTCAGGTTCCATAAGATTTCGAGGGCAGCCATTGAGGTAAAGTGTTTGCTTTTAGAGGTACAGGCAGTCTCCGCTATAAATGATGTGTTAGAGAGTGCTCAGCTGCTAAGTCTGCTCATCAGGTGAAGAGTAAAAGCAAATATTGAAAATCATTTTCCCAGGAAGTCATTAACTTAGATGACCTACAGGTCGGGACTGTTTTCTGGACAGGAAGCTCATTCAGTTTTAGCAGAATTGAGGACCTCATTCTGCTCAACCTTGCATGTTTGAGGCACTCATCAGAACTTACTGCAGAAGTAGCTGCAATTACAGCACGCTGTGTACACAACTGGTACAGCTCTTCCTCCATGTAATTTTGATCTTAAGATGTTCAAATCAGGATCCTAATTTTCTACGTCTTAGACTTGCACGATGAATGGCACTTGGAAGCTGTGCTACTCTTCATTTTCTTAAGAACTACAGAACATCCAATCAAACATGAATCTGAGCATAAGAGCAAAATAGTCATTACAGCATTTATCTGCTAGAAGTGTATTACTAAATTACATACTGAATTAAGGTGTTTTCTTTAGACATGGGACTGCTCATAGGCTTGGCTAACTTCCTCACCAGGCAGCAGTCCTTCATTTTCTGTGCTGCAGAACTCATTACTGCTTTGCTTTGTCTTCCATTTGCTCATCTCCTGCTGCCCCACGGTGTTACAGCGCAGCTCAGTGGCACTGCCACACACCTGCCTTTCAACCGTCCCGTGCTACAACTTCATAGCAATTGTTAATGATGATGCCCTGCTTACTTCGGAATTCCCGTTTATGTGCCTGTGGTGGGACAGTGTTGTCACATCCGAGCCTCACTGCTCTGCGTCATCGTGTAACCATCAGGCTGCTGGGAACGCTCGCTGCCTTCTCTGCAGAGCGCCAGGAGGCGGTTTGGGCCTGACGCGGGGCAGTGGGACAGGCCCGTACCCGCACCTCCGAGCACCAGGAGCGGCTCCTGCTGCCTCCCGCCCGCTTCCCGGCAATCCGCTGGTCGCAAACAGCTCCGTGCGCACGCGGCGCCGCTCCGCCCGCAGGTTGGCGCTCCGGCCGCCAGGTGGCAGCAGCGGCACGCGGCTGAAGCGCAGCGCTCGGGTTGGGCGCAGTGCGCGGCGCTCCGCGTTGCGGGGGAGGTTTTTTCCCGGCCGATGCGCGCGGCTTTACGGCAAATAGGAAGGAAGGCTGATAGGAACTGCCACGGAGCAGCTTGAAAACGTGTCCGAGCTCCGCAGATGAATTAATGTAATTTGTCATAGCTCTCAAAGCTTGGGAGAGCGAGCCGCGCGGAAGGGACTGTGGTTCATCAGCACCTCCCGATGCGTTTGTATGAGCAACACCGAAGTGGTAATTTGATGTCTCTCTTGCCGTGCATCTCGTATAAATAGTGGTTTTTGTAAGCATTATGTTTTCTTGGTATGATGCATCGGCCCTTCTGCAGAAAGTCCCTACAAAATTAGAAATAATGATTCAGTGAGTAATTTCAGAGTCAATGCAGGGAAAGAGACAAACTGGTTTCATGTACTGCTGGGTAACACAACAGCACCAGCGACTGGACTGAGGTCAGAAATTTTTAGCTTTAATAATTCAAGTGTGGTTTCTCTTACTGTAGCAGTGCATCTTTGCAGGTCCTAGGCAGCTCTACAGGAGCTGTGCAGTTACTGATGAGCTGCCATGGCGTTTGGTGCACGCCCAGAACAGGCAGTCGTTACACCACTCGTGTTACTTCTTTTTAGTCTGACTGCGTTACCAGGACCAGTGCTGCCAATTTTGCTGACTCTGCTGCTCCAGAGCGCCGTTACAATTGGCATTTGTGGAGAGGTGTGGTGCCAGTGTTTGGAAATGCTCACAGTACCCTCGGAGTGTTATTAGCAAAGGGATGCAGGCAGAACCAGGGCTGGGCTGCTCGTGCACTGCCCGCCCTCCAGCGGTGTGGTTCCCAGGGAGGACCTCATTGCTGCCTCGTGCTTCAGAACCACTGCTGACAATTTATTCCAGCTGAATAATTTAAGAGGTTTTTCTGCTGTTCTTCAGCTGTTCATTTCCCGCATTAATTGTGATCCAAACTGATGTTTTCAAAGAACGCTCCCGCTGTGTCCCTGCTGTCACCATGGTGACCATGCTCCTGATGCACATTCCTCCTCTGTGCTCCTGCAGACAGAAAAGTGAGGCAGTAATTCCTGCTCTCCTGACGCAGCAGGAGATGGGGCAGCGTGTTTGCAAAAGCACTTTAATGACTTGATCTATATTATCAAAATCCCTTCAATCCCCAGGAGCAAAGCGAGCCGCTGGTGGCACTGCTGTGCTGGGAGCAGGTGGGCACTGCTGGCTCTCGTGCTGGGCTGCAGCTCTGGGATGCGCTGCCTTCAGGCGTGGTGCATGGAGCTGCTCCTGAGAGCGCTAAGTTTATACTGGGAGGCAGGAGAAGCTGTTTGTGCTGAGCCTTCCCTCTAATCTCAATCTGCTGCTTGATGCTCGAGGACAGGGAACAGAGAGGTAGAGATATGAAGGAAAGGCAGAGGGATGGGGAGGGGAAATCAAAACCGCTCACTGACAGACCCTGAAACTCGTGCTCTTCATCTTGGGATTTTTGGCATTTGGCACTGCTTTGCCCGAGTCTGTGCTGAATACTGATGTATGAACTGGGGTGGCTGTTGTAATCTGCAGAAAGCACGGCTGTCCTTAGTCTGGTGGTGCAGCACTTCATTTGAGGTTGCCTGAAGGAAACCAACAGCCAACCCAACCTGGATTCCTGAAAGCAATGTGTTCTCTGGGGTGGCTGTGAAGGACAGCTGCCCACAAACTCCAGCTTATGTGCTCTGCACTGGAGTGTTGTGCTTGCTGTGTGATGAGGGACACAGCCTGGGCTGCTGCATGCCCGGGTTCCCTGAGCTCTGCTGGCAGGGCTGGCTGCTGTGACCATTCAGTAGACTGGGGGAAGATTGTTGAATAATGGTGTCCCTCTGTGACAAGCAGAGGCCTGGCCAAGGTTCAGGAGCTGACTTAAGGCCTGGCAGTTCCTGTGGTCTTAGTGCCAGTTCCGCAGTCTTTAATTTCTGTGATGTCTCTAGCTATGTTTCTTAGGTCCAATAATAAACTTTGGAAAGGAAAACCAGTATGTATCTCCTTCTGTGCTCACATGGGGAGTCCTGAGATAAGCTGTGTGGCTGCATGAAGTGTCGGGCAGCACAACCAACCATGCTGCTGCCTTCTGCTCTGTGCCACTGATTCCTCTCCCCTTTGATTTCCCTTGTATTACGAAGCCCCCCGTGGCTCCTTCTGGACAGCCCCCCGCCCACCTCTGCATTGTCCAGCAGTGTTCTCCTTGCACCTCCTGATGCGATTTCCCCTCTGCTATCTGAAGGCAGACGTTGGCTGCAGTTTGTAATGCAGTAGCAGCCTTGTGGGACACACCAGTCGTTCCTCTGAGGGGCTGATCTCTCCGATAGGGGCAGCATTACTTTTTGTTTTGGCTCTGCTGTGCTTCCAGAGCGTCAGGCAGAGGAGTGGAGCAGTAGGGTTTGCCATGCTCTGTCTTCCCTTTGCTTGAGATCTTTCTAGTCGACTTTTTATTAAACAAATTAAACGTGATGGGAACAAACCACAATTGCTCATAATTGATAATTAGTGTAAAGACTGGATTGTGTACCACTGATACCAGTGGGGATATTATGACTGACATCAATAAACACAGCATACAGTATCTACAGAGAGGGCTGCTCTGAGCATGGCTCTGTCTCTGAAGAAATGACCATGTTACTGGCAAGAAAAATTAATCCATTGGCTTTTGTTTGCATGCATTTTGCAGGAGCAAATCCTGCTTGTTTTCAATTTCTGCACTGTGAGAAGCGCATTGATTTTTCTTCACTTCTGATTGTTCACATTACTGGATTGCTTTTAAATAGCTGACAGAGAGATCATTCATTTTCCTGCCCCAACATATTTTACAGCACATTTTTGTTGTATTTGTGCGTGCGTTTTTCCCAGCAGTTATACACCATATTGATCCCATTTACAAACTGCAGTCCATGCATGTGTTAGGAGCTGATCCTCCAAGGCCTTTGTTCCCTTCCCACCCTCCCCAGCAGCTTCACATCTGCTTTTCAGGGCTTTGATTGGAAAGTGGAGACAAGGTTCTAAGATGGCCTCTAAGCCAATGGTCAGAAAATGCTGTCCCAAACACCCCATGCCATAGGATGCAGCACTGTGCTCACAGCCAGACTGTAGTGCAGATGCCAACCAGTGAAGGGTTGCAGCCAAGGAGCAGGTAGGATACTGCATTTTTCTTTGAAGATTAGCATCAGGAAAATATGGAGCAGCTGACCGTGGCAGTGCTTATGCCATTCCATTCCTGAAGTTTACCTCTAGGGAGTGGTGAAGTGTAATTTTTTTTTTATGCTTGCAGATTAGTGACATTAAAAGCCAGATCTCCTAAAATATGCAAGCTTGTCCTGCCTGGAAGTTATGTCGACCTCAGCAGGAATTGCACATATTAAAGGCTATTGCCTAGAAAGGTTAGAAACATCTTGTCTGTTCAGCAGGACGACTGAGCCAGAAATAGCTCAGTGCCTGGGGCAGGAGATGGCAGGGGAATAACCAACCACTGGGTTAACTCAATGCAGAATACAAACCCTTCATTATATCATCTTACTCTTTTTTTTTTTTTTTTTCCTCCTGGCCCGTAATTTATCTGCCTTTTGCTTTGATAGTAGAAAAGCGAGCTCTGAGGGAAAGGATATTAATTCCTCGTAGCTCTTCACCCTGGAAAAATAATGGGACAACTCAGTGCTCATAGTGAATGTCACTGAGGTCAGTGAAGGTGCTGCAGCTGCCCTGAGCAGTGCCATAGCAGTAGCAGTGTGCCATGGTGGGGGTCTCCCTGCTGTTGGCACGGCGGGGTCCCAGCACTGCAGCAGCTCCTGCTCCACCTGAGATCTGTGTCTGCACACTGACAGCATGGATGGCCTGGAAAAACAACAGCAGCACTTCATAGGCTTGCTTTACGCCTTTTGGTGTAGCTCTAGCCTAAAAGAATTTTTTAATGGAGTTTCAGTGTAAATCCTTTGGTTTCCAGGGCATTTAGCATGGGCATGAAGGCAGCACAAAGCTGACCAGAGAGCAGACTGCGGGTTTGGAGCGAGGAGAGCTCATTGCAGCACCTGTCACCACCCCACAGAGCTCCCTGGGCACCTGCAGACATTTATGGATTGCAGCATTTATTTCCTGAGGCGACTCATACGTCTTCCCCCGAGAGCGATGCAGTTGCTGGGAGAGCACGTTCCTCTGATCTGTCTCTATCAGGTCTCGTGCTGCCAGTCTGAGTGAAGCATCCAGGCCTGACTTGCACCTTCACTGGAAGAAGATGGATTGGGTGTAGGACTGGTCCCACACGCTCCAGAGGGCTGCTGCCTGTTTCTAGGGCATTTGCCAGCAGACAGATTCAATTTAGTTCAACAACACCATCCTCGAAAGCAGCTAAATGAAATGAATGGCTGATGCAGCACTGCTCAGCAGGGGGAGCGAGGTGCTCCGGGTTTACCCACGCTGGGCACAGTGCTGCTCAGTGCCTGCAGCTCCGGGGGCTGACTGCAGGGCCACGGGTGCTCATAATGAGAATTAATAATGAATTTATCACATTGCTCTTGGTGAATTATCTCCAATAATCACGTGCAATTTGCTACTTCAGCGGATACTCTGATCGTAAACAGGTCTGGCAGAATAAAGTCATGGGAACTGAATCTAAAAGGAGGGAGAAAATGGTCGAGATTAATTACATGAAACGTTCGAAGGAACATTTTTGCACATAAACATTTGCAGTGTTTGCCCAATGCTAGCAAAATGAATTCTAGACAGGAAATGTGAGGAAAATTACCTTCTGATGTGGTACTGCATTCAGTGCAACTGAGGCTGAGCTGCAGGTAACTGCCCATCATAATGGAGTGGCACTCAGTGTCCCCATTTGCTCCTGCCTTCGCTTTTTTGTGCTCACAACACCGCTGGGTTCACGGGGCTGTGCTGACACAGCCAGCAGCTCAGGCCATTGGTGTTTCCTTTAGCATTTACTGCAGAGCATTTTGTGAGCAGGGCAGACTCTGGCACCAGTGTTGTGCTGCAGCACTGCTGGGAGCTGCTGAAACCTCGTCCTGCTGCCCGGAGCGCACACCTCTTCCGGACTGCTAACAGGTCCCACTCGAATTACGTTGTTTTAGTTGCGGTCGGTGCTCGCAGTGCCCCCTCCCTGCTTTACCCCCTCCCTGCTGCACGGCGACGTGTGAGAGTTGGATTTCACAGCACTGAGAAAATTAACGCTTCGGAGCATTTATCTCCATTATTGATGTTCTGTCGGCTGCAGCACTTCGGAATTCTCTCCAGAGAAACGAATGGTGCTGACAAACCCAGTGAACTTCTGTTCCCATCTAAATATCTAGATAAAGGATGGCATTTCTGTATGCAAGAAACATTATTTGGTGATAGCAAACTATTATCTGTTAACTGTTTTCCCTGTACCAGGATATTTGTTAGGGTTTCTTTTTTTCTGGCTGACATTCTGAAGTGTGATTTGGCAGGTGTTATTTATGCACATGTTGGTCTCTTACATCTCTTTCCACAGAAGCATTAAGGCGTTTAACTTTCAGTTAGGGCACTAATTTCCATTACTTTCAGCTAGAAATGTCTCCTGGAGCCTCGGTGACCCCGCGTCTGTGTGTGGGTCTGTGCAGCACTGCATTGCTGCATGGCTGGCACTGACACTGCTCAGTGATCGGGGGGTTAAGCTGGGGCTGAGCTGTGGCTGGAGCTGCGGCTGGCCAGGACCGACACACTGGAGTGATCTCACCCCTCGCTGCGCCATGTGCTGCCCTCCTGCAGCTCCTTGGTTTTGTTTTCAGTTGGGTCTGTTAAACAAATCCCCCCAACCAAAGTCACCGCTAGATGTTATTAAGTTTGTGAGCAGAGCCTTCCTGGTGGAAGTACTGCCAGCACATTTCCTATGCAGTAGAAGCATATGTGTTTCTTGAAATAAAAATGAGAGTGTAACAAAATTATAAAGAATTCAAATATTCAATGTTTTGGATGGCTGAATTGGAAGTAAATACCCAGGAAGGATGTATGCATTTCCTCATCCGGCCGCCTGCAGTGCATCTCAGTGGCTGTGCAGGAGCCTGGGGACAGACAAGGCACCCACAGCTCCAGCTGAGGCAGCGGGCTGCTCTGCTCATGGCCCAGGCAGGTTGGGGTGTTGTATTCAGTGACCTGAGGGCTGTCCTGACAGAGCCTATTGCTGAGCCATAGCAGCCACACATCCACAGGGCGCTGCTGAATTTTTAATGGACTTCAGCTTGCTTGCAGCAGTGAGCCAACAGCCCTCTGTGTGCCGCAGCAGAGCCCAGCACAGAGTCCAGCCAGACGCTGCCCGGTGTGAGCCCCTGTGCATCACCCCCAGCACACAGCTCATCCACCTGCACTGTGCCACTCCTTGCTGCATTCCTTCGGGCTGCAAGAGGACTCTGCACCCGGGGAGGTGAGGGCAGCTCAGTGTTGATGAGCAGGGTTATGGTAATGCAGATTATGGAAATGTTTTGGGTTTTGTACAGTTCCTGGTGCCACTCATGGGAACAAGTGTTTTCTGGTGTGTGAGCAGGCTGCAGAACAGAACCCTGCACCCTGTTAAAAATGCTTTACAGGAACAGAAGTGTCTTCGGAGGTTTACTTCTCTAATACCCAGCCAGTGGCTGTGAGCACAGCACGCGCTGTGCAGAAGCCAAATAACCCTCCAGGAATTCTTCCTATTAAAATAATTGCTAGGGCAGAAGAGTGCTGCAAACAGCTGTGGTTCATCCTATAAACATATTCTTCCTCCTTTTGGAGCCTCAGGTTCCAGCGTATGCCAGAGCCTGTCAGCTGCAGGAGTGGTGGAACATATTTCCTTTACAGAAATGAAATGATTACTGTTGAATAAATATGTTATGCATAGGCCTGAACTATCCAGTGAGTATTGCATAAGTGAAGAGGAAAAAAGTGACATGTTTCACACTGAAATGAGCTGAAGCAACAGTTCATCTGGTAGCATGATGGCAGCAGAGCTGTGCTAGCAGTCTGGCAACACTGAGTGCAATGAAAAAATCCCCTGGAACCAGTTCAGCTCTGAACGGCAGCATCCTGGCTTGGATGTGCCCATCTGTGGCTGGGAGGCAGTGGGACACAGCGGGTCTCTGGGGCGAGGTGTTCCCTCCTGCTGGACACTGTTCCTCACCATGCTGTGCACGGGTCTGGTTTGTTTCAGAGGGCTGTGAGCTGGGGCTGTACTGGGCTGAACCTAATCCCTGAATACCAGGATGCTTCTCCTGTAAAGCTGTAGCTGCGAGGGGCGTGCCAGAAGTGTGTGTGTTGGTTTGTAGTACAATGGGACTTGTTGCAGGAGCAGGTGTAACGTTTGTAGCACAGAGCCTTCACTGCACTCAGACGTGGGAACAGACTTCTGGGGATGGCAAAGTATTGCACCTACAGCTTGTTGTTGTTTAAATACGCTCAGATTGGTACAGTGCCGGGGAAGAGAAGCACCAGCTGTTGGACAGGTGCCTCTCTTCAGTACCTGGACAGTACTTGTAGAAACTATCATTTGCATCTTGCACTGTTTCTTTATTATTCTGACCATGGGCCTGGACAATGTAATCCAATCTTGCCTCACAACAAGGCTAGGCTGGCTCTCAGCACTATGGAAACACAAGGGGTTCCCTGATGGGTTCTGATTGCAGTGCAGCTGTGAGGAGAGCTCTGAGGTCAGCACAGCCCTTCCTGTGGCTCTGCGGCAGGCAGGGGCTGCAGCCGGGGCAGTGGGGAAGCAGAGCACAGAAGCATCAGGGAAAGGCGCAGCAGCCGAGGGGTCCATTTGCCCTCATGCTGCAGGTCTGGCATTTGACAGCCCAGACTCCTGGCAAAACCATTTCTTTCTCATGTCCAGTGGGAGCGGATGAGCAATGCACACTGCTGCCCCTGGACACACTGCACTGCTGCCAGCCCCCCGCCCCGCCGTCTCTCCCTGCAGCACACAGCTCTGCTGCCCGCCTGTGCCATGTTTGCACAATATTGTTAATCAGAGGCACAGTTCAGGGCTTCTGAGTGGCACATCCAGCTACGCGGGAGCAAACACATGTTGTAAAACCACTGTGCTGAGGCCACCTTCCTAATGAATGCAAAGTGGGAGCGATCAATCAGAGTGAGAGCAGTCAGCACTCAGCTCCCTGCATCTGCAAACGCAAATTGAATGAACAATAATGAGTGTTATCTAATTAGTCCTCACAGCTGCAATGTTACAGCCCTGTATAGGACATACCTTGTTAAATTTCATGGTATGTATAATAGAGTGTCTGAGTTAAAATGATTGAGATTCACCACATGCACGCTCAGCACAATAGACACAGGTAGATTCTCAGCGATAAATGTATTGTCCTCAGCAAATGGCCTCTGCATTAGCTAACGCCGGGCTCGCTCCAACAAAAGCCAGTTAGAGAGAGCAAATCACCAGAGGCAGCACATGGACTGGCTCAGGACTACGGGTAGCTGGAAGCTGGGGTCACTCCTGGGCAGGAACGCTCCTCCGTGCTGCTCCACATTGGACCCTGGGGCTGGATCTGTCCCTGAGGCAGCTCTATTCAAAACCACACCAGGAGTTTGGACAACAAAGTGCTTCAGGCAGCTCTTTAGACTATCACCTTTGTGTTCAGTATCTGCTCCTCCAGCAAAATCTGTGGTGACACTGCAGGGGATGGTGTTTAAATATTAATATTTGAGCAGTTTATGTTTTTAATACATCCTAATTTACACATGTGTGTATTGGACTCATGGGTCTCAGTCCCTCCCAGCTGGCAGCAGGGTGGAGGCAGCTCCGTGCTGATGTCTCTCTGCCTCTGAGTCCTGATGACTGGGCACATCCTGGTGCTGTGGCAAGACTCACCAACCCACGGCTTCACCTGAGCCATGAACGTGAGAGAGACAACTCGGTGTATTCAGAATTAGATCTTTTTAACAAACACTGGTTCTACCCCTTGCTGCTTTAATAAACTCCTTGGTAGCAGGCTGGGGTCAGTTGTGCCTGGAAACAGGGAGGAAGGCAGCGTGCCTCCCCAAATGGGGGAGAACTTTAACAAGCTTGGTATCATTCAGGGGGAATTTTGCAGCTGCAGTGGGAAGATGTATTTGCACCAGGAGCAACCATCACGTTGTCTCTTCCTACAAGAAAATCATTAATAAAAGATCCATTTGTTCTTCTCCAGGCAGTTCTTATGCCACCATGCACAAGATGTATTTTTGGAGCGAGGTGATAAGTTTGTAGGATGCAACATCAGTTTTACAGTAGAGCCGTTGGCATTAGTGAGAGCAGAATGGTAACAGAAGCCATAAAAATAACAGATGGAAGACAGATACAATAAAGTGGAAGCGCAGGCAAATTATAAAACCATTCAAACTGTTCATGAAGATAAAACAAGAAAACAAAAGCATCTGAAATCACAAGGACTGGGTGTCTGCTGGGGAAAAATCTCTGATTTTGTCGTTTGTGGTGGAGATGTTAGTGTTTGGAGGAGCTTAGGGAGGAGCAGTGATTTGTGCTGCCGAGGGAAGCGTTGCTGCTGCACTCACCATTGGGGAGGATCATTGCTGTGTGCGGGCATGAAGATGGTGTTTTTTTCTCAGCCCACACTCCAAATGTTCATGTTTGACTCCTGTCAATGCAGTTACTTTATTACTACACTAAAATATCATCCGACTGCAAGAAGCGCGGCAGCAGGAGGGCTCAGCGTGCACTGAGCCGGGAGGCTGCAGCTCGGGGCGGCTGCTGGGATGCGGGCAGAGCCAACGGCTGCTGGGGACCGCAGCCAGCATCCCGTGTGAGCCGGGTGGGCACCAAGGG